TGAGCTTCATCCATAAGAGACTGGAGTTTATTCATTTTCAGTTTTGTGGAATATCCTGTTGTATGAATGAACCAAATTTATCCTGTTCTGCAAATGATTGTCTTTTGGGTTGTTTCTAGTTTCTTAAATTACTATTATGCACAATACTGCTATTCTGGTACAAATCTCTTTGTGTACCTGTGTGAGAATTTCTTTAGGGTGTTTATCGAAGAGCGGGGGGTTACTTAGTCATAAGGTGTGCAAAATAGCCCCAGGTTGTTTTCCAAACTGATTGTGTTAGTTGGTGCACCCTCTAGCATGGTAGGAGAGTCCAGTTGTCCCACATCTTGGTCAACATTTGACAGACTGTTTAATTTTTTACTAACTTGCTGGAAGTGTAATTATGTCACATGGTGGTTTTGACAGGCATTTCTAAGATTATTAATTAGGTTAAACATCTTTTCATATGTTTATTAGCCACTTATGTTTCGTGTGAAATACCTATTCAAGTCTTTTGCCCATTTTTCTTTTCGGTGGTTTTTGTTTTTGTTTTATGGTATTGACGTGTGTGTTCTTTATCTATTCTGATCTAGTATGGGTTTGTCTTCCTCCCCCTCCCCTAGTGTGTTTTTATATTTCTAAACCTACAGAAAAGTTGCAAGTATAGTATATAATGAATACCTCTGTATCTGTCACCTGTGATTACCAAATGTATGTAGAAATAAAGAAAATCTTTCTCTGAAACATTTGTAGCAGATTGCAGACATCATGGCATTTCACCTCAAAAATACTGTAGCCTAGGAATAAGGACATTCTTCTATATAAAATACCATTATCTTTCCCAAGAAGAATTCCATGTTATCTGCAGTCCATATTCAGATTTCCTCAGTTGGCCCAAACAGTTTCTCCGTAGGTTCCCCCTTTTTGATCCAAGACCTAATCAAGTTTCCCAAGCTGCATTTGGTTGTGATGCCTCCTAAGTCTCTTAATTTAGAAGAGTTGCCCTGCTTTTTGCTGTTGTTGTTTTTCTTGACTATGACCTTTTGATAAGTCTGAGCTAGTTGTCTAGTCCCATAATCTGGATGTGTCTGCTTGTTTCTCGCACATTGTTGGCACAGATGTACGAGGATGGCGCCATGTCTTCTTGCATCACCTCAGGAGATCAGTAATGTCAGTTTGTTTACTATTGGCAGTGCCAGTTTTGATCAGATGGTGAAGGTGGTGACAGCCAGATATCTCCATTGTAAAGGAGTCTTTTCCTTCTGTGGTTAGTAAATAATCAGTAGAGTAATTCCTTGGTACTATGCAAATCACCTGTTTCCCAACAATCTTTACACCCAGTTGGGTCTTTTTTCAGATCTGATTGGTGATTTTTCTAGTCTCTTGCTCTCTATTTATAGTTTTAGTTCCCTGTTTTTCTTTAAAACCATTAAGCATTACTGTTTTAAATGTATCTGAATGCTTTGCTCTGGGGGTCTAGTTCTGCTTCCTGTTGCATTACCCTTCCCAAGGAAATGAAGAAGAATTCCATGTTGCCAATTCATGGTGCCATGTTTCCTTGCTTGTTCTTATGAGTTTTGACTATAAGCCTGCATTTTGTAGGGCTTTGAATTCACTGAGGCCTGAGTTAAAGGTGGCCCCCTTCTGAGAGACTTCACAGACTGAAGGGTTGAGGACCTCCCAAGGTGGTGTGAATTAGGGCTGAAACCTGAGGACTGGCTTTGTTCTGGCGCCTCTGGGTGTGCCTTTAGTTCTGGTTGAGTCTAACACTGACTATATGGCCCTGTGGGGTCTCATCTTTATGGGGGTGCTTCTTTGACATTGCCAACCTTGGGAGGCCCCTTTTGTCTTTCATGGTGCCAGAGGCCTTGAGAGCAGGAACTCCAGGTCACTGGTACAACAAATGCCCTTAGGGCAGGAGCCAGCTGCAGGCTCCACAGACCTCATTAGGTTTCACTTTTACTTAGTGTTTGGCCTCTGAAGGTTCCAGACTTTTTGCAAATCAACTTAGTGATGTATTAAAAATTTTGTTTTTTTATTTTATCAGCATTTGAATTTTTTTTTTGCGGGGAGGGCCAGTGGGGACATTCATCCTGCGAGAAAGTGGTGCCTCCCTAGTCTGTGCTGACTGTGGAATGCTCAGGTGCCCCAAGGACCTGCTGGAGGTGGGTCCGTGCCCTTGTCTGCCACTCATTCAGGGGTGGGGTTCCTGCTTGAGCTAATTCCAGAATCCCATCCTGCCTGCCCTTGCTCTCTCACGCACACACAGCCAGTAAGGCAGGACCCAGTGGGCTGGGGCATTGCCCAGCATCTCTGGGTGGTGGCTCCTCCACTTTGGCTCACTTCTGGTGCTCTTCTTGATTTCTAGGCTTCTTAGCGAAACAGTGTACCTATTGCAACCAAAGGGAAGGGCTCCTTGACTGAGTATAGGGCAGGTGCCCAGGGCAGTCCTTCAACCTATTGGTGGATCAGACTGTGGGGTACACAGAGGTGTGAACCCCCAGTTGCCCAAGACTGTCAAGTAGGGACCTGTGGTCTCTGGGCACCGGCCCCTCCTCTAGCCCTGCCTCCTCTGCCTCTTAAATTGCATGGGTTCCAGCTGCTGAGGCAGCCCCGTGGCGGTGGCAGGTTTTCACCAACACCTGCTTGTTTGGGTACATGCTCCTGCCTCTGTGGCTGCTGGGCTGCCCAAGGCGTGTGGCCTTAGTGGGAAGATGAGTGCTGGGTGCAGCCTTAACTGCCCACCGCTCCCCACGCCTGGGGAAAGGCTCGGGTCCCCTCTGCTGGGGATAATTCTGCCAGGCTGCTACTGCTGAGGGGACACAAGGGGACGCTATCGTCGTCCATTTATGGGTGAGGGCCTGCAGGGCTTTTGGGGGCATTTGTAGCATCAGTTGGAAAGGCTGTCAGAGTTGTGCAAATTGTGTCAGATTGTGTTTCTTTTTAATTTTTAAAAGAATGTGTCTCGCTTTGACATCTTGAAGAGCAGGCAGAATCCGAAGTTGTGCTCGGTGGATTAAGTTTCATGTTCCTGTGCCCTCCGGGAGGAAGAGACAAGTGATAGGACAGGGAAAGGAGGCAGCAGCAGCCATATCGCACATCGGCCTTGCGCAAGGGGCTGTGGCCTCCGCTCGGGGCAGCTGCTGCCAGGGGAGATAGGATAATATGATTATTTGCAATTAGATTAATAAAGAATAATTAGATGTCATAAATCAAGTAATCATAGGATATTGTCATGGGAAAAATATGTAGCTAGAATTAATTAGTTTTCAAATAAAGCATTTATTTTAATTGCTTGAAATGATGGAGCCCTTAATTGCCGATGCATCATTTTGGCCTGAGCATTTTGGTTGTTGTAACAACGTGACGGGTTTGTTCCCGCACTCCTGGGGAAACAATAGAGGAGAACTTGATTTCATCACCTCAGAGTGAGCCTTGTGCTGGTGAGGTTCTGGAAACTCCTCTCAGGCCCCAGGCAGGTGGCAAGTGTGGGCTGGGCTAAAGCTGGCACTGCATGTGTATGTGTGTATGCATGTGCCTGTGGGTTCCAGTAAATGTGTGCATGTGTAAGTGTACATATGTGTGTGTGAGTGCATGTGCATGTGTACCGAGGATGAACATGCTGGGGGTGTGCATGTCAGGACTGCACAGTGGGAGCCCCGCAAAGGTGGCCTGTTGGACTCTGTGGCTTGGACTGAGTGGTAGGGCCCCCCATCCTGAACTGGGACTTTTCTTCTGGATTAAGGGGCTTTAGCAGGGGCTGCATTCTTGGGTTTCTCCAAATCTGGAGCCCAGCAACCTTGTGCCTGTCGCCGACCAGCTCTTCTTTGGGGGTAGGCACAGCACAGGCAAGCAGTAATTTCTGATGCCAGTCTGTCCAAGGGTGGCCACTGCCGGGTTTGCAGCCCTGGCCTGGCTGCATCTCTAGGTGGCTTACCTGTCCCATGCCAGAGCAGAGGTCATGGGTCGTGGAGCATTATGGGGTTGGGTACCTCTGCTCCCAGGGGGAGGCTGTTCTTGTGTTTGAGAAGAATCAGCTGGCCTTTAGCCAAAGGTGGGAAAAATTGAGAGAGAGAAGGAGAGAGAGCGAGAGAGAGCAGCCACCCCTGCACTGTTGAGTCCCTGCTGCCTGTGGGACTGAGGTGGCATGAGAGGACATAGGCTTCCAGGGACTGTAGGATTGAGTGATAGGGGTAGGCTAGGTGGGGACCCTAGGCGGAGTCTCCTTTGGGGTGATGGGTGGGCCCCAACAGGCCTTAAACACAGGACCAGCAATATGAGGAAGGGTCTCTCATCTGTGATAGCAGCCCTCCTGGGGAGTGATAGGGTGATTCAGGCCCCTGCCCCTTGCCCACACACTGCTGCGCCAGTTTCAGCCCCTTCTGGCAGTGTACAGGCCTGAGCCTCAGGAGCCGAGGGCAGCTCAGTAGACCTTTCCTTCCCCAGGAGTAAAGGGTGCTGCCTCCTTGAAGGATGGAGTGACAATCAGCACTTGTGCGTTTTCAGGCCCAGGACCCAGCAGGCAGCATTTGCAGCGCATACAAGGAGGAGGTTCCACTCCATCTTCTGGTCCTGCTCACTCTTTGGCACCCAGGGCTCTCCCTCGCACACTCTGAATTTGCTGGGAGGGCCAGTTGGGGTGGGCTCCCTGAGGGAGAAACTGGAGTGAGGCCTGGACAGAAGGCAGGACTCAGCCAGGCCTGGAGTCAGGCTGACCCCTGCACAGCCTGGGCGAAGAGGGCCTGCCCCAGCCTGAGTGGGCTGCCGCAGTGCTCAGTGGGAGCCAGGGAGCCAGAGGTGTAGCTGGCATTCCTGAAGACCAGCGGAGGGTTCTGTGCCGCGCAAGTGCGGCCAAAGGAGGGTATGGCACTGATGTGCCCGTGTTGGGACTCGGGTAGTCCTGCTTGTGTGCAGAGGCCATAGGCAGATGGAAGAGGGGTGGGCAGCATCCAGGAAGGCCTCCTGCTACCTTTCTGAAGGGGGACAAGCGGGTCACTTACATGCCCTCTCTTGGTCCCCAGGTGGCTGCACCCCTGCCCAGTATGGCAGCTCTACCATCCCTACCCCCAGACCCCCAGTTTGTCCTCCGAGGTGCCCAGTCGGCGGTGCACGCGCTACATTTCTGTGGAGGAGCCCAGGAGCAGGGGCACCCGCTTCTCCTCTCAGGGTGAGTAGCTGCCGCTGACCTGCCCCCAGGGCCTAGCCCAGGGCGAAATTTGGGGGGAGCTCGCAATGAACCTGGCACTCATCTGGGGGTCCTACAGAGGTCTCAGACTGCCTGTCACCTGGGCACACTTTTAGAGCTTACTCAATATGCTGTCCCCTTGGGCCTCACCCCTTGGGAGAGGCAGGAACACACGCCCATTCTGTTACAGGTGCCACCCAGTTTGCACTGTCAACGGAAGTCCTCCCTCCCTCTGCTGAGAAGCAGCTCTACCTAAGGGGCTCTTAGAGGCTCCCAAGGGCACCCTTGGAAGAGCATGTGACACCTTTACCCATTGTTCACATTTAGGGCTCTCACCTCAACTAAAAACTCAGGCAGCTGGAACACCTGGTCCACCAGTGTCATAGCCTCCAGACCAGCCCCATGGAACATGCTGGGTGTGTCCACCCTCCTCTGATACCTCCTCCTGACCCTGACCCTGCACTTGTCTGAACAGGTCCCTGAATGGGCTGGTGCACATCTGGAGCTTGCAAACACGGAGGGCGATCGCCACCCTGGACGGGCACAGGGGTCAGTGTGTGATCTGGCTGCAGACATTGTCCCAGGGACACCAGCTCCTCAGGTATGTCTCAGTGGCAGTCCCAAAGGAGTACGGTCCCAAAGGAGCCAAGGTGTGGTCTTCAGTGGGGGCTAGGAGTTCTCTGGTTGAGACCCTCCTGGTCTCCCCTAGCCACTTGGGCTGCCTCACCCCCAAAAGCAGAATAGGGTGTGACCCCTGCTCTTAGTCCATCCTGAGGCAGTGCATCTGGGTTGTGCTGAGTGCTGTCCCAGTGGGTGCTCACTAAGAAGGGCCTAATGAATGTATAAGATGGCTCTGTCCATAGCCCCTTGCTGCCTGTGGCCTGAGCAGAGCCTGCCTGGCCTGCACAGCTCCCCAGTAGTGGGAGCTGGGGTCCTGAGGCTGAGCTTGAGGCTTCTCATTGGAGGAGCCTACTGCAGGCCTTGGAGCCGTGGTGTCCCAACACCACTCTGCCAGGTGACCTTCCTGGCTATGCATATACCTTCCCCACAAGTTGGCGAAGACTGATCACCAGGGCAGCACATGGAGCATGAGCCTAAAGATTACCAGGCTGGTCAGAGAAATGCTCCACAACCTGGTATGGCTCTCCAGGGGCACTGGGAGCACCACACAGGTGCCAATGTCTATAGCACTCAGGACTGCCCAGCAAGGGCTCAGCAGGAAATGGCAGCCACACTCCTGGTGGAGGAGAGTGCATTTGCCAAGGCTGTGGCAGGCCCAGCCTGGGAGTATCACCAGAGGCCATGAGGAGCTAGAGGCTGGGCAGCAGAGTGGGGAGTGGTTCTGTTCCGGCACTGCCCCCCAGCCTTGTGGGGGTGACAGGCTGGGGACTCCAGGCAGGGTGTGGGCCAGGAGGCAACAGGAAGGGGCAGGTGGGTGAGATAGCAAGTTGGAAGGGACTTCTCTACTTCCCATGGGGAGAGGGAGGGACAGGGAAGGGCACAGACCAGGAGGTGTGCAGGGAGCTGGCTACCTGCCTGGTTGCCAGAGCGGGCCATTGCCCTGGGTCATACTGATGTCTGGCACTGTTCAGGGATTGCCACTCTAGCCCAGGAATCCACCAAATCAGAGTGCTGTTCTCTTGGATGTTCTCTGCCCCAACTCCAGGACTGGCTTATTCTCCTGCTCTGGACTTGGAGCCTTGACATCATCTGTGTGTGCACTGTGGAGCCGGTCCCCAGAGGATGAGGCCTGCTGGGACACCACTGGTCTGCAAAGCATTTTTATGCCAGACTCATGCAGCTCCCACCACCCTGGAAGTGACTCAAATGTGACTGAGTGACCAGAGGTGTCCTGGAAAGCTGTGGCCCTGGATGTGTGTGTTGGTAGAGTACTTGCAGGCCTCCTGAAGGGGCTGGCCCAGAGCTCCGTGCCAGGCTAGCCCACTTGCTATCTGCCCACACTTGGTACACAGGGCCTCACAGTTTTGGTCTTTCCCTGATAATAGAGTAGGTGTCATGTCTCAATACCCAAATAAGTCACTTGTACCAGGAGCTGCCATATATAAATGTCCCTGCATAATTTTCAGCTGAGGTGTAGGCCCTACGGGCCTCCTGTTCCTCCGAGGCCCAGGCACCTTGCGTGTCCTCTGGGAACCCCTGGCATGAGTGCTTGGGTTCCTGACACCCTCTTCTGAGGCTTCAGTCCACGGAGATCTGGGCCAACACGGTGCAGGGTGGAAAGCTCCTGGTGTAACCTATGAGGGGATGTTGGGTGGCAGCCCTCCTTCCAGTCATGATGGCACTGCAGAGGCTCCTCTCCAGGCAGGGGGCCTGAGGGTGAGAAGGGCTGCAGAGCAGACTGTGCAGGTGCTTGGAATGCCCAGGTGCGTTTACGTTGCACTAGAGGCTGTGCACCCAGCTGTGTTTAGAAGCCAAGTGTCTCCAAAGTGGCTCTTGAGGGAGGAAAGTGAGCTTTCATGTCAAGGAGAGTCTGGAGGATAGAAAGTGAGGAGCCAGGAGCCCTGGCCTTCGCCGTGCTGTACACGGGGCTTCAGGAAGCCCCGGGGCAGCTCCACAGACACCCCAGCCCCATCTACAGGCTCGAGGACACACCTGGGCTCGCGACAGCTGGCTGGGTGGGTATGTGTCCTGCCTTTTTCATTGTGAGGTGTAACAGTCTTGCAGAAAAGTGCACAGAACAAGTTTGCAGACTGCTGTATTATCACAGAGTGGACACCTGTGTAACCACTCGCAGCAGGAAGCCGAGCACTGCCAGCCCTGCTCTCTGCCCTGTCCCCGGGAGGCAGCCTCTCATGCCTTGCTTGTGTTTACCATCTGAACGTGCATCTCCAAAAGGCAAAGACTCACCCTGGCCAGTTTGGGTCAGTGGTTAGAGTGTCAGACTGGGGACTGAAGGGTCCCAGTTTGATTCCAGCAAAGGGCGTGTGCCTCTGTTGCAAGCCTGATCCCCGGCCCTGGTGTAGGCGCGGGCAGGAGGCAGCCAATCGATGTGTCTCTCACATATCAGTATTTCTCTCTCTCCCTTCCACTCTCTCTGAAAAACTATGGAAAGGGTATCCCCAGGTAAGGATTGGAAAAAAAAATTAAAAGGCAAAGGCTCATTTTGTCTGTTTTTTTTCCCCGTGACTTAAAAAAGTGGAGTCATAAGAACAGCTTCTTGTGTGTCTGACTTTTTCCCTCGGCTCTGTCTTTGTGAGATCCACCGAGGCGCGTGCTGCTGCAGCTCACTGTGCAGGCTTCTCTGGGTGGTGTCCCTGGAAGTGTGTACCCAGATGACATATGCTACTGTGGGTGGAGATCTGAGTTGTCCACTTGGGCCTGCTGTGGGTAAGGTGGAAGAAGGCTCTCGGCTAGGCCTCCTGGTGCCAGACGCACACGTGTCTGCAGGGCGGATCCCGTGCCCACAGGTAGAACGTTCTGTTCGCGCACATTGGGCTGCTCGGGAGCACCAGGCTGCACTCATCCCAGTGCAGCAAGCGCCCCCAGCCCCCCATTGCCACCTGGGGCCAAGGAGCTTCTGGGCATGACTATCCCTGTGTGAGAGTCATCAGGGGTGATGGGCATCAGGCCAGGAGAGAATGTGTACAGTGTTAGCAATTAGGGGACGGGTGAAGGAGGTATGGGAGGTCTTCCTCCTGTTCTCACAACTGTTCTGTGAATTTGAAACAAATTCAAAATAAAAAGCTACTTAAAAACAGGCCAGTCCTTTGCTTACAGCACGACTGCCGTCTTGACTGTGAGGCAGATGCCCTCCATGTGCGAGCATGTCTCTCTTGTATTGGGCTCTGGTTCGTCCTTGTGTCAAGGACACTGCCACGTCTGTCTCTCTCGCATCTATCTGTGCAGTCAGCCTGTTCCTGAGGAGTGTGGTGTGGTTCTTAGCCCTCCAAACGTTCCAGCGTTTTAACATCAGCCCGGCAGGTTCTCCAGAGGAGTGGAGATTTGGACAGGGCCTGAGCTGCTGTCGGTCAGCCTGGGGAAAGCAGTCATCTGCGCAGCACTCGCGTTCGCAGCATGGGTGGAGGCCTCCGTCTGCAGTGATCCTGGGATGCCCATCAGAGTGTTCGGGACTGGGTGTCATGGACACGGGCTCACATGTGAATGCCAGGGCTGAGAAGACTTCCTCGGCTGAGGTGCCCCAGCCTGATGACCTGGAGCTAGCCGCGGCCTCTCTGGAAAATGGCCCCTGCCTTCCTTTGGCCTCCGGTTGGCCACAGCATGCTGACATTTGTCCAGGTGGGATGTGCAGACCTCTCATCTGGGAGGCTCATGGACTGTCTCTATTCTTGGTTTTGGCAGTCAGGGCCGAGACCTGAAGATGTGCCTATGGGACCTGGCGGAGGGCAGAAACGCTGTTGTGGACTCCGTGGGCCTGGAGAGCGTGGGCTTCTGCAAGGGCTCCATCCTGGCCATGGGTCAGGAGCGCTGGATGCTGGCTGTGCCCGGGAGAGGCAGCGATGAGGTGAGCACTGGCCCACACAACCCCTCACTCATGAGTCACCGGAGGCTGTTTCCCCTCCATGGGCACTCTCATCCTTAGCACCTGGTTGCAGGAACACTATGCTCTGCAAGGACCCCAGGGGACTGTGGGGCAGGTCCAGGTCTTTCTGCTGGATCGTAGCTCCAGGGCCCTCAGATGGGCCTTCACCTGGTCTCCTGTGAGATGGCCCTTATGGTGAGAGTCAGGAAGGAGGCCCAGAGGGGTGACTGGTGTCTCTGGGAGGACCGGGCACCCAGCACGGTGCAAATGGACGAGTGGAGTGTCAAGGCCTGAGGCCATCAGTATTGGAGGAGAGATCGCCAGACAGATCCACAAGGACTTAGGAGCAGGCACTTGTACAGGGAAGTCCCCAGCAGACCAGCAGGAGACAGTGGAAGACAGACCAAGGCCCTAGTGAAGTTGAACTAGGTCTGGGAGCCAGGGCAGCAGGGGAGGGGTAGCCTTCTGGGAAGCAGAACTGGACCCTGGTGCGACAGACCACGGGTAGGGCTGGGGCCTAGAGGGTAAGGGCTCACACTGGGTGGCGATCGCAGTATGGAGAGACACAAGTGAGCAGGGGAGCGTCAGGATGGAGCTGGAGAGTGGGGTGGGTGTGACAGCCTCAGAGGTCGCCGTCAGATGGTGCTTATGCCAGAGTGGCCAACAATGGTTGGTGGTGGCAAGGACAGGTCAGGCTGCACAGTGGTGTCCATAGCCCAGAGACAGAAGAGGAAGAATCCCCCAATGGAAGCAGTGCCCAGCATGTGGGGCAGATTTTGGAAAGCCTGGGAGAGGCGGAGGGTGTGGCTGGAGGCACCAGTTCTTGGGGGAGCTGAAGGGAAATGGGAGAAGAAACCCATGAGCAGTGATTGGATGGCCTGGAGAGTGTGGGGTCCCGCTGCGGGTCGGGGTGGGTGGTGGGCAGGGAGGGGGTAACCTGCCTACCGCCCACTCCTGCGTTCTCGCAGAGTCTGCACGGCAGGCAGCGCCGGGCAGGGACCTGAGGCCTATGCACATGGGGAGGTTTGGCCCCCGCCCAAGAAGAGCCGTTTGTCTTAAAGCAGGTTCAGTTCATAAATAATGAGATAGGAACAGGCATTTATTTGTTCATGATTGCATTTAAATCACCAATTAGGAGCTACATATACTTTTCTTGCCAATTTGCCAAAAACCTGTTAAAACTTTTATTAATGGGAAAGGAGAGAGGTGCGCTTCCTCCAGGAGGGCAGGAGCCGGGCAGCCCAGCCTTCCTCCTGTGCCGCACACGCAGAGACCGGCCTGCGGGCCCAGCCAGCTCTCCCACCAAGGCCAGGGGGCTGGGTGCTGTCTTCCACCTCTGCCACCCCAGGACTTCAGACTGGTCTCGTCCCTCCTCCTGCCATCACCCTCTGCCCCACAACTCCTCTCCCAGGCCTCATTGCTCAGACCACTTATGCCTTCTGCTCGAGGCTGTCTTAACTGACCTCCTGGCTTCCATCTCTGGCAGCATCTGTGTTTTTCAGGAGCAGCCAGTCCAGGGACCTCGCACATCCTGGGAAAATGGTTATTTTCCATGCTCCCACCTGGAATCTGCCTGGACTAGGCCCTGGAAAAGCATTGCTGGCCTGTGCCCAGACAATGCCGGGGGAGGACATGCTCCTGCCCCACTTGGCTGTCTGGGTGGCCACGCTTGCTCAAACCAACATTTTTCCTTCTGGAAATAAAAGTTGCAGTTGAGTGCCAGGTGGAAAGCTCTCCAGTGTCTGCAGGAAGCTCTGAGCACAGGCTACTGTGCCTGCCCTGGTTCCTGGGCCACTGCTCCTTGCTCTCCCTCTCCCTCACTCCTTTCCCCTCACTCCCTCCCGCAGCGCCTAGCTCAGGCCATGGGTCTGCCCTGTCCCCTGAAGACCTTCTCCTCACAACCAGAGAAAACTGGCTGGGTGACTCACCCCTTTGTTTTTGTGACCTTCCTCACTGCCCACCAGAGGGATCTTCCTGAGCCCAAAGACCAGAATGGGGCATCCCTCATTGACCCGTGGGCCTGTGTGCCCGGCCATCCAGGGTGCAGACCTGTGCAGACTGTGTCCAGCGACATCGGCTTCCTCAGACTTCCCTCTCCCTGTGGCTTCTCCTTCCCCCTCCGGCCACTCGGCACCTTGAAACCAGCCTGTCCTCCTGATATGGTGACAAAAGGAACGGATCTCATTTTAAGAAATCTGAATAATTCAGGAAATAGAACAGTGCACAGGAAAGGAAATAAAGTGTCCTGCCTCCTGCAGCTTGGTCTGTGTCTTTCCAGACCATCCCCTCCTGGCACAGCTGTGGGCCGACTCGCTTGGACTCTGAGGGGACCCTACCACTCGGCCACAGCCTGCTGCTTTGCACCTGTACAGGGTCGAGGTGCACGAGGCGTGGGGACTGAGAAGAGCATCTCCCTGCCTTAGGTGAGCGGTCCTGGCTGGATGCTTTACCTGCCTCCGTTGTCGGCAACAGTTCTTGGGGGATGAGCCTGTGCCTAGTTGATGTCACTCACTACAGAGAACAGAAGGCTCCGAGAGCCCTCTCTCCTTTCGGTGTGGGTTTCTTTTTTCCACTGTGTCTTGGTTGTCACACATTGTCTTATATTTCTTTTCATTTTGCTAGAGCTTCTCCTCAAGCATCTTGACTGTTCCAGGGTCCCTTTTTTGACCACCTTTTATGTCATGCAGTAACACGGTTCATGTCACTTTGATTCTTTTCTGTCTCCTTCGTGGGCAGTGAGGGCCGATCCACCTGTGTAGATGCTGTCCCGATGGTGATGGGGAGCCTGTGTGCTTGTATGTCTGCATGTGTGAGTGGGTGTGTGTTTGTGTGCATGCGTGTGTATGCACACTGTGCACATCTGGCAGGGACCCCAGGACTCAGCCTTCCTAGCAGTGCTGGTGCTGGGATGCTTTGCAGGTTTCTGTTGAGAGCCCTGCCCAGAGCTCACCCACACACCCAGCCCAAGCATAGAGACAGACATGGGGCATGTTGCAGGGCCTCGAACCCGAGAGGACCAGACCATGAGGCCAGCTTTCCACCCTGCCTACAGCTGCCCTCGGGCATGGCACCCAGCACACGTGTGGCAGAACTGGAACTCAGACCTGGGGTTTAACTCTGGGGCTCAGGCCCATTCTGTGTGTGTTAGTGAGAGCTCAGCCATACTTGTACAACTCAAGTTCACTCCTAGTTCTCCCCGATGGGGGTTCTGTGTTCTGGGTATCAGGCAGTAGGCCAGCTGTCCCCTCAACGTCCTCAACTCCTCTGGAACTCAGACTCATTGTCTGCAAACCAGAGAGTGCCTCCATGTCAGTGAGGGGTGACATGCGGCTCCACAGGGGCTGTACGCTGTTGCTGTGACATTGGTGGAGGTGCTCTCGCCAGTGGATGGGGAGCTAAGGGCTGGCAGAACCCCCCACCATGGAGCAGTGGACCTGCATCTCATAGGATCCCCTCTCTTCTTCCAAGCCCTGCAGGAGTGGCACCCTTGTCCCTGCATGGCAGATGAGGGAGCTGAGGCATAAGGGATGCAGATGACTGGGAGCCCAGTTCCAGTCTGTGGGGCCCCTGAGTTTGCTCCTTGTGCCTGCTCCTAGTGGCTTTGTCCGCTGCTGAGGATGTGGGGCAGAGCCTGGCCCAACTTGGTGGACAGGCCCGAGTGTGAGCTGTCTGTGCCAGGCAGTGAGGCACATCTGCCAGTCTAGTTCAGGTGACACAATACAGCCACAACACCCAGGGTAGAGGCATGGAACACTGGCGACAGCCAGGCTCTAAGCAGAGCTTCCCATGTTGTATGTTATGGTTATTTCCTAGGTTGGGTGAAGGGTCCCCAAGTGATCCCTGTGCAAGTCTTTGTACCATTTGGTATGCTGAGAGTGCAGAGTCGTTCACATGTAAAACCCATGGCAGGAAAGGGAAGCAGGCAGAGGTCGGGAGAATGGGCGAGCCAAGGAAGTGCTTAGTGAGCCAGGCCTCCTGCTCAGCAAGGAGGTAAAATTGGGGAGAGGCTGGAGGCAGCAGCTGGGCAAGAATGCTACTTAGAGGGACATGCCGGTCACTCTGGAATGACGCCATGCACGTTGTTTCACCAGGCTTGTAGCACTCGAGCCCACGAACCTGTGCGGCCTAATTAGGAGGCTGGGCTCCCAGGTTCCTACTGGGAGCAGACAGAAACTCGCAGCAGTCTTAGCTAATCGCCTTAAAAGTCTCTTGTTTGTATAGAACAGACTCGACTTGGCGCCGGCCCAAATCAACTTGTTTTCTTACTGTCAGATTCAGATTCTGGAGATGCCATCCAAGACGTCAGTGTGCACCCTGAAGCCAGAGGCAGATGCCAAGCCAGGCATGCCCATGTGCCTGGAGCTGTGGCAGGTAAGGCCCAGTGCACGCCAGCCACGCCCTGCCAGCCACGCCCGCCGGGCTGTGAATCATGGCCCATTCAGGATTTTGTTTGTCGGCAAACCAACAGGGCAATTAGCCCCCTGGGAGAACATGTGCACCCGCTTCCACAGCAGCCTGTCCCTGGCATCCCCTGCCACCCTCCAGCTGCTTCAAGGGATGCTCCTGCAAACTGCCCCAGGGCAGGCCTGGCTTCTGCTATTCTCTGCAGGCTGGGCTGGGGGAAAGGGGCACCCCACACACAGTGCAGTGAAGGGGGACAGCTGGGTTAGCTGAGCTGGCCCCCTCCCAGGGAAGGACTCTTCTCTCCTGTCCTCGGCCTACTCACCTTTACCAGAGGCCCTGGCTCTCCTTGAGGCTCAGCTCTCAGTCCCCCAGAGGTCAACACTGGCTCACAGTATGTGTACCCACTCCTTGGGTCTCTCATGTTTGGGACAGCAAAGCAAATGGTGTGGTGTGTTCACTTAGAAAGAATCCCGGGCAGTGTCTTGGCCGTTGCAGAAACTGGTAAGCAGGTCACTGACCAGTGTCCATCTCAGGAGTGCTGCTCACAGGTCATTTTCTCCTCTGTTCAGTTTACCAGCACCTTCTGAGGGCCGCCCCGTACCGGTCTGGGATCAGGAGCAGGTGATTCCGGCCTTGTGCCTCAGTGATTGTTTGAGCTCTTTCCTAAAAGTTAGACCAGCCCTGGCCGGTCTGGCTTAGTGGTTAGAGCATCGGCCTGCAGACTGAAGCGTCCCGGGTTCGATTCTGGCGGGCTTGATCCCTCGCCCTGGTCCGGGCACGTGCAGGAGGCAACCAGTCGGTGTGTCTCTCTCACATGGATGTTTCTCTCTCTCTCTCTCTCTCTCTCTTCTACTCTCTCTGAAAAAGCAATGGAAACACTATCCTCGGGTAAGGATAAAAAAAAAGTTAGACCAGATGGGCTCAGGCAGTTTGGAGATGTTTATATGACCAACAGGGTTCATGGGGACAGGCATCCCCAGAGACCCTGCCCCAAGCCTTTGCCCCTCTAAGGACCAGAAAGCTCCCCTCCTGTTGTTCCTTAAGCGGTAACTTTCCCGTTGGAATGTGGGGTCTCTGTGTCGCTGCTGCTGCAGTGGCTCAGAGAAGCCCGTGGGGTGAGGAGGTGAGGCTCCGAGGCTCACCTGGGTGACGAAGCTCCTGGCGCCAGCAGGCTTGTGGCAGACGTTTGGTGGGAAATACCCTGGAGGCCAAGCCGCTGTCGGTGAGGTGTGGTGCTCACAGGCCCTGGGGCAGGACGTCAGGGGCTACATCCGCTCATACTCCACTCCCTGGAAACGCTGTCATTGCGTAATCATGTAAAAATTCCAGCAGAAAAATGTGTAGAAATGTGATGTACAAACTTGTTAAGGTAATTAATATAGTTGACAGAAGAACAAATCGCGTTTTTGTTAGTTGATATGGATCCAACACAAAAGGAAAGCCTATGTTAATCTTAAATGTCCCTTTTTTCTCTCCAAACTTGAAGGTCCAGGTTACAGTTTATTGACCTGAGTGTGGCAGAGTGGCCTGAAGTGGCGTTTTTTTCTGAAGCTTTCAGATTAGTTTTGATTTGTTCCTCAGGGAGTCTGACCTGGGATGATGATTATCACATAAACGTCAGGATCAGAACCAAGCCTCAGGCAGTTATTCACACCAGTCTCCAGAGCTATGGGCCCCACCCGAGTTGGGGGCTCCCCACAGGACCTCAATGTGCTGCATGTGGGGCCTGCCTGCTGGGGTCCCTCCGAGTCAGCACAGAGCAAATCCTCGTAGTAACTCCAGGTCCTCACCCCATGGAGGTCAGCCTGGCACTATGGGTATAGCCACCAAAGGCCTGTGGCCATAGGAGCACTGTCCTACCTGCGGTCTGTCACTGAGGGGGCCATAGGCACCCAGCATGTTAGGAGAGGCCTTCAGTGCAGGTGGGAAGTAGAGGCCAGGGGTCAGCATTTGGGCTCCCTTGGCAACTGCTGGGTGAGTCCCTGCAGGCCAGTCTGGCTCCTGCTCTGGCTTCCCTGGGTCAGTAGTTGTAGCCCCTGAACTAGTTGAGGTGCTCAGAACCCAGAGGCCACAGGCATCATCATGGGCGTGGGCTATGGAGACTGACCAGAAAAAACTGTCAGCAATGTCAGGAGCCCTGGACATGGGGAAAATGTGCCCAAGCGGGGCAGGAGGCAGGCTGGCCAAAGCAGCATGGACGGTGACACATCAGAGCACTGTCCCAAAGGGAACAGACTCAAGTGGGCCCCAGATGAGTCCCTCACAGCTGGCCACCATGGTGGGGTCGAGCAGGTGTGGTCTCAGGGTTGGTATGAGTTCCTGGTTGGGGTTCAGTGTGCCCAGGCTGTTCTCACCTGGCCCTTACCCTGCCTCAGGTCTAGATATGGTCACTCATGGGGGAGGCCCTGTCTAGAGAGGCATAGCTGTCTTTAAGCAGCTGCCCGAGCTGAGGGCCAGACCATTTCTTAAAGCACTCTGTACTTCAGAAACAAGTGGTATAAGTAATTTTATACCAAAGGAACCAAAATGGAGCTCTTCCCTGTTATAAAACTACAGGGGAAGCACACAAACACTGTCAGGGATTCTGTTGGGAAGCCTGTACCTCAGCTCCTCCCAGCCTCCGCTCCTCAGTGGTGGAAGTCACCAGGCGCTGGGCACAAGCAGGTAGGGGGCACTGTGCGGCCCCTCGGGGATCAGAGGCAGGGAGCGGGGTGGAGCAGTCAGCTTGCAGGACCCCAGGGAGGGGCACAGGATGCCACAGGCCCTCTCCCAGGAGCTCCACTCACTTCCTTAGACTCTTCCTTTCTGTTTTTATTTGTGTGAACACATTATCACAGAAGAAATGATTGTACGAGCATTTTCAGGGATAAGCGGGAAGTGTCTACCAGCCCAGCTCTGGTCTGGAAGAGTATGCTGTGGCTGTATATAGTTCTCAGTGGTTGTGTCCCTTGTCCCCTGGCAAGGGGACATCTCCTCCAGATCAAAGAGCGGGTCTGCGTCAGGCTCCCCCTGGCTGCCATCACACTGGGCCCCCGTGACATACACTACACTTACCACAGCCTCTGTTTTCCTTCTGATGCACGGAGAGAGGTCTGCTTCCTGGGCTGAGGATGTAATGTCTACTCATATATACCCTTGTCCTCCGGTTAAACCAGGTCACCTGCCTGGACAAGGGAGGCTTTTTTCTGGGCACTCAGGAACACTGTCAAGAGGCGCTCTGTGCTGTATGTACAGCATCTGGGCGCAGAACCCCTCAGTGGGCACAAGTGCCCACACAGCGCATTAACGGGAGCTTCAGCAGGTGGGCGAGGAGGGCCTCTGTGATGCTGTGAGCCCACATCCAGGGAGACCCAGGTGCTCTGCTCAGTGCCAGCCTTGCCTGCCAGCAGGTGACCCAGAAGGCAGTCTCACCGACCAGCCCTCCGGACCCCCATTCTCACCATTGACCATCCAGGGGCTGACGGCCAGGCCGGGTCAGAGCTCAGTGGAGGGGATGTGCTCAGCTATTTCTCACAGGTGAGGCCAACCCCAGGCAGCTCAGTGGGGACATGCTGAGACAGGTAAAGAGCACGAGGCATCGGCCGGAGTGTGCTGTTTGTCCTGGAGGCAACCTGGGCACCTGTCCTGGAGGCGTTTCCTGTTGGTAGTGTCTGGGGACTGGGCACCAAGCATGGTGTCGCCACTCTCGGTGCCATGGTGACTTGGAATCCTGCAGTGCTCTTCTGGAGTTGATACAGAGGCTAGATAAACGAGGCGTCAGCCCAGGGTGCGGGCCCTCTGACCTGTGCCCTCATTTATCACAATAGCTCAGCGCTGCGGCGGCTCACCCTGCCCAGGGATTGGGGGGGCTTCCGCAGCGACGTTGACAAAGCACAGAAAGTTCATTTTTCATTGACAAAGAGCTCACAATTTTCTTTGGTTGCTGGTTGTAGACAGGTGACTGGCCCCACCAAGTGTGGTTGAGAGCCTCGGGCCTGCAGAAAGGAGCCAGCAGCCCCCTATGATCCTGGCTGGACATGGGCTGGTGAGCAGCGGCATGGCAGTGTTAGGTGGGGGCATGCTAGGCTGCCCCGGACGCTGTGCCCTCCAGTCCCAGTCCCTGGGGTGCCCCAACACCAGCACACGCAGGTCCTGTATTAATGGTATCAGCCATCAAGGGGGTGTGCAGAGCCTCTGAACTGTTATTGCTGAGTGAAGAACATGGGAACAGCTCCCTGGCTGGGCTACCCCCAGGGCCAGCTGGAGAGACAACCCATTTCTAGAGTCCCCTGTCCCCCAAAACGCACCAGGACCCTTCAGGAGCTGACTGCTGTGCTGTTCCCCGCAGGCTGACTCCAGCCCCCACCCGCTCCTCCTGGCCGGCTATGAGGATGGATCAGTGGCCCTGTGGGATGTCTCTGAGCGGAAGGTGTGCAGTCGAATCGCCTGCCACACAGAGCCCGTCATGGGCCTTGACTTTGACTCCCAGAAGGCCAGGGGCGTCTCAGGCTCTGCGGAGAAGGCGCTGGCTGTCTGGAGCCTGGATGAGCAGCAGGCCCTGCAGGTCAGTGCGCCAGACCCGAGGTGTCATTTATCCTGCTCTGCACTAACAGTCTGATAGGCTGAAACAATATTTAGGCATGAAGAGGAGTTGTTGCAGATCGCTGGCTAATTAATCACTCTGAGGCGGGGTGCAGGCGGGCCTGTCTGTGGGGCCAGCGCAGGAAGAAGGGGGCGTGGGCGTTTGTGAACCGTTCACATGGTTTGGGTTTCTCTCAGACCCTGGGTTAATAGCAGTCACGTCTTGTCCATCTAGAGAAAAGGCATGTAGAGTCCAGGAGTAAGTACGCCAGCCCATTTGCAAAAACTCAGAGGAATTTGGTCAGTAAGGAACTGATTAATCAAAAAACAAAAATAGCCCAATGTGGAGAAATCCACGGAGTCACGCCCCAGTGGCGGTCTGCAAGCAGGCCCCAGGGAGGCTGTTCCTCACGGGCAGCGGGGAAGGGATGTGAGGCCTCAGGGTAGAGTGGGGCGATGCTGAAAACCTTCCCCTAATGTCCCAGTAAACTTTATAATGTCCCAGTGGACTTTTCCATCTAGCATGCTTTGCGGAGCACGTGGGGGCAACTTCTGGGCCTGGGCCTGGTGCTCAGCATGGGTTGGCCTAGCCTACTTGCTCAGTCCTATTTGGGATGGGAGGGATGGAGATTGGCGGTGGGGAGTCTCCTATCCAGGCCTCACTCTGATGCAGGTCCCAGGGGGCTGCAGGCTATGAGGGATGAGATGCTGCTGGGCATGTCCTGTACCTCTCAGCCCCCAGAGGGTCACATAGGTGCACACTGGCTTCTGGGGATGGGGGGGAGCCCACATTAGCCAGGGAGTCTTGGAAGGCTGAGACTTGACCACAGCCAGCAAGTAGAAGCTCCTTGGAAAGGCAGCTCTGTGAACCCAGCTCTGGGGAAGCAGGACTCCAGGGGTTGCAAGTAGAAGCAGCAGCAGCCTAGCTCCTGACCTCACCTGGGCTCTCATCACTGGAGTGCTGGAGGATAGGTCCTGGGGCTACCTCCTCTGCTGGGCTGTGTGGTCCAGGCTTCCCACCATAGACAGAAGGCTGAAGAAGAGGTGTCTCGGGGCCTCTCTCCAGGTAGGGAAGCCTTGCCAGCAGCCTACCAAGCCTGCCTCACTTTTGCACAGACCAGACCCCACAGCCAGGGGAAGAGGCCCTGTGGGGGGCACTACTGGGCCCCTGAGGCACATGGATGGGGTGAGATGGGCCCCAGGTGAAAATCAGACTATACTGTGGTACCCAGCAGGCATCACCATGCTCTGGCTGCAACCTGGGGGTGTGGCATTGCCACCAGGTCATTCCCAAGAGGAACAGAAGGACAGCAGGGGGGGTAGGAGGGCGTGCCCAAGAGAGCAGTGACATAAAGATCTGAGGACAGGCACTGAGGTTGGGTAGACTGAGACTGGGAGGTGCCCTTTCATGTTACAGCTAAAGGGGCCACTGGCATCCCAAAAAGAATAGTCCTGTTGGAACTTCTTTGGCATCACCTCTCCCAGTGTCCAACCATCCCTCCATCCTTCTGTCAGGGAGCCCAAGGAGGCTCCGAAGGAAGAGGGGTCAGATAGGCCTCCATTGGGGCCAGGCCAGGCAGTGGGGGCTGAGCTTCTCATGTCTTCATCCAGAAGAAAGGCTCTTGTGGACCTGCTGGGGGTGGGAGTGAAAGGTCATCTTTAGAAGCTGGAGTGGAGCCGTTCTGGTGCTGTGTCTTCACGTGCTGGGTCCTCAGCAGCAGAGTCAGCCCTGCTGGGTGCCAGTCCTCCCCACCTCCATGGGTGCCAGGGTTCTCCTTCATACCCTTCCGTCCTGCTCCTCAAGCCCCATAGAGACCCACTCACTGGAGTCCAGTACTCCACCCCACTGTGCCTTGAACTTCATCAGCCTGACTTCTCAAAGAGCTGAAGACTGGGGTGGCTTCCCTAAGAACCCTGCCCAGGCTGCAGCGCTCCCAGGTGCCAGGAATGGGCCCTCCTGCCGACCTGGCTCAGATCTGCCTGGTCTCTCCTGGCTCCTTCGGAAAACAGCTGCTGGAACTTAAGACTTAAATTTATGGGGCATGTTCCAGTCCAGAGATGAACTTTTACTCTACTGATGAATTGAAAAGTTAAAGCAGAGGGTATTATTAATGAATTGGAAAGTTATAGCAGAAGGGGAGCAGGCTCTGCAGAATGAGAGTGGTTGGTGGGATGGCAGTGCCTCGGCCCGGCCTCGCTCAGCAGGAGAGGGCTCCTCCTGCTGAGCATGGCCACCTCACCCAAAGACAACTGGGCATCACCTTCAAAGTTGGTTCAGCCCAGAAGCCCTGGAGACTTTCGGACTGTGCAGTGCAGGCCTCTGAGGAGGAAGCATCTGGAGGCCTCATCATCCACGGGCATCCTTGCCCCGGCTGCCCTCGGTGTGCTGTGCCCAGCCCTGCAGCGAGCTGCCCACCGGCCCACAAGCCACGTGGGCACAGATGTGCCTCACCTCTCGGCCTGCTGCTGAAGTCTCTAATGAGCCCAAATCAATCTCTCCCAGGCGGGCGCTGGGCGCGGAGACGCAGATGAGGTTTCCCGCAGCAGAGCGTGGGTAATGGGAACCAGATGGCGGCCGCGCTGCGTGCACATTCCTGGCACCTGAGGTCATGCGCAGTGAGAGCCACTGGTGGCCAGGGATCCTTCCCCAAGGGGCCTGGTCCAGGACAGGTTTGGCCAGGGGCTAGGGTGGTGGCTAGGAGCTCTCAGTTACCCCTGTCAGGATACTGCGGCCTTGAGGGCATGCTGCGAAGCTGGCTGCTCACCTGCCTCCCCGAGGTGGCTTTCCAGACTGCCACCAGGAGCTTGGGCCTCAGCTGTCCTCAGACACAGGTGGTGCACAGACCTGCTCCTTCCTCCCACACTTGGGGCAGGGCCCACGGCCTTGAAGCAGGGGCTGATTTACGGCCAGCAATATTTTTAGGCCTTTAAATAATAATGAGGCCCCCCCACCCCAGCCAGCCAGGACTGGGAAGCAGACTAACACTCTCCCCCCTCACTGTGCCTGAGGCTGGCCAGGTGTCCCTGCTGCATGGCCACTGCCCTCCCTCTCCACAGCCTTTTGGGGGGCTTCTCTCTAAAGTGTTGGCATCAGGACATGTGGGGCAGGTTCGGGGGAACCCTGACTTTATAACTAGAGAAAAGAGAACTATGGGCACAACCCAGCCTATTGCACACATCTCAGGAACACAGAATGGGGGTCTGGCCATATTCATGTGAACACTCCTGATAGGACTCCTCTTCCTTAGGAACATGAGCCCCAGCACAGGGACGGGGCTCTTCCTGTTCAGGTCCCCGTGAGACTTCCATTGCCTCTTTTCATTGCCTGCCAGAGAGCCGGCCTGTGCTGTAGGCTCCTGCCTCGCTGCTGCTGTATTTCCAGGTGGAGCTGCAAGGGCGGCAGGTGGGGTGAGTCTCATAGCTGACCCCTGGGCAGCACTGGGTATCTCAGCCCGTCCCGGGTGGCACAGCCGCTGTGGAGGTGTGAGAAAGCTAGCTGGCTCAGGAACAAAGTTCATAGGAGAGGAGAGGATGGGGGACATGCCAGGCTGGTGTGGCTCAGCAGATGAGCAGCAACCTAGGATCCAGGAGATCACGGTTCGATTCCCGGTCAGGGCACATGCCCGGGTCGAGGGCTTGATCCCAGTTGGCGTGCAGGAGGCAGCCAATCAATGACTCATCATTGATGTTTCTCTCTCTCTCTTGCCCTCTCCCTTCCTCTCTCTGAAATCAATAAAGATGTATTTAAAAAAAAAAAAGGGATGGGGGACAGCGATGGTCAGTTTCTCATGCGTGTTCCAACGGCCAGTGCTCTGTCCGTGCGCGTTGCGAGGGGCTTGGGCAGATGCACGGCGCCGCAAGCGGGTAAACGTGTGGAGTTGGCCTCCTCGCTCTGCACAGCGGTGCCGCCCCATGGCCCTGCTCCAGCGTGTGCCCGTCTTGGCAGCCGGTGTGTGGCGCCGGGGGCGCAGGGCATGCTGAGTGGAAGCAGGAGCCACCGCAAGCGTCCTGGACATGCTGCTGGTTGGACGGGGAGAGCTGCGTTTGCTGTGTGGTTTGGCAGATTCTCATTGTCAGGTTAGGTTCTCTTCACTCTTGGCGGGGAAAGAATCTGGATCATGAGATGTTGCTGGGACGTCAGGCTCGTGGCTCTTCTCAAATCTGTTAATTTAGTGAATTCTGTTGTTCGATTTTTAATAACATTAAAACAATTGTATAGTGCTAAAATACCCCGCTACATAGCATGTCCTCTGAGGGGCCAGGGTCGTCTATCAGTAGACTGAGCTGGAGCCCCTCTTGCGTCACCTCACACTGCTTATTGTATCGGTGTGTCCTTCTCCACGGATCTCAGGACACATGACAGGGGTCTGTTTCTTGAGTGGCTGTGGGCCAGTCCTTGCCTGTACCTGTGGGGCAGCGTGTTCTCTGTAGGGAAGGTCTGATTTCATTCTGGGACTACTTTACATGTCCTGATTTTTTTTGGTTAGTTTTATTTTTCTAGGAATTTGTCTGTAGGCATAAAAATCTTGAAGGTATTTTCATATTGACTTTTTTGCCGTTTGTAACGATTGCGTGCATTTCCGGCGTGTTTGCAGATCAGTTGGTCTGTGTGGATCTGTCCCCCTTCTACCCCAGCACTTCTGCTCTGCTCTCTGCCTGCCGCCCTCCCGCGCTCCCTGGGCTGCTCCATTGCTGACTCGAGCTGGGTGCGTGACGCGCTCGTTCCCGGCCTCCCTTTCGCACAGCAGCTGAAGTCTGCGTCCCACATTGTATGATGTCGCCGTCTTCATCACCACTCACTCTGGGCGGACCTGATTTTTATTTGTTCTCTGACTGCTGAGCTGATTAGAGTGTTTTTATGTTTCCAAATGTTGGATTCCCCCCCCCAGTTATTTTTTTATTTTTCAATTTCTAACTTAATTCCATTGTGGTCGGCGAAGAAGGTCTGAATGATATCAGCTCTTTGAAATGTGGAGGCCAGTC